GACTGTTGCATGATGGAGGCCCGCAACATGGCCGCCGCAGTCTTGGAGGCGGTAATTTTGCTCATGGCGTCCGCTGCAAAAACAAATAGCAAAGTTAATAAAAGTCATAACAAGAAATGCACGGAACAACAGAGTATTCGACAGGCCGGCTACCTCTTGAGCACCGACTGCTGAGGCCACAGGCGGCCAAAAAGTACTCGTCGTAGAGCCATTTGAAGCTCGGGACGCAGTGCAGGGGTACTTGCTCTCGTACCCCTGAAGTAGAGTTCACCTTCGACTCTACTTTGAAGAGTCCTTTATCTAGGATCTCTTTCTTAGCCTTGGGGGGAACAGGCGGCATGCTTCGGCCGCCTGCAAGAAGGGGCGGATTCATGTTCCACCTGTTGAAGCGCTTGTTCAGCTCTGTGTCTGAACTCTCAATGATAAGGAAGGTGCTCCGCCAGTCCTTCCATTTGTTTGCTTTACCTCTCGTCATGAGGTAGCCCCTGTGGCTCGTCAATTGATACCAGCCGGTACCACCTGCCTTAGCGGTCCGGCTGAGGTAGTTCATGTGGGCGAAAGCCTCGAAGCTCGGCTCCACCCCGTGCAGTTCGCACCCGGCCACATAGCCGAGTACGTTGACCTAGGAGTTCGGGGCTAATTGCCATAACCCCAACTCATACCCATCCAAGATCCGCTGAACAACCGGATGTAGTGGGAAGCGCAGCCCAGCCTTGATGGCCGCCTCGTAGCAGCCAAAGCAGGCGCTATCATAACTGGTACCAGCCGGCCAGACGACTGTGTCTTCTGGATCCGGCACAAACACTAAAAAGTCGGGGCCCATTGTGTGGTTTGCGATAAAGCTCTCCACTTTCTCTTGCATGGCCGTGATCCGGCCCCGAGGTACCGTGCAGTAGTAGGGGGTATTTTGCTCTCGGTGAGAGGCGGATGGCTCCGCCCAATCGTCCCCCTTCTCAACTGCGTGAGAAAGCCTCGCCTCTTGCAGGCGACTGTTTTTCTCTTCTGTGTCCAGAGAAGCATGGCCAGAAGAGCTAGACTCGGAATCGTCCTCTGACGAGTCCGAAGAGGACGACTCCTCCCCTCTCCCGGAGGGGCCCGCCTCCTCTCCTTTAAAAGGAGCAGGAGAGAATGAAGAATTGTCAACTGTAAAATGGGAAGGGGTCACTTTGACTCCTCCCTCAGAACTGCCGGCTTTCAAGCCGCTTTGTTTCACTTCCCCATCTGGCGCCTGGTCAAATGTTTCACTAATCGGCACCCTGTGGGAGGAGCCGTCTGAGTTTGAGATCCTGGCAGTCTTTTTTGTTCTGGCCATCATGCTCTGCATAGACACAGATACAGTCGGACTTTGTATAAAGGGAAAATGGCAGGCGGCACTCCTAGTCCTAGATTCAGCCGTCCCCGGTGACCGGCTGATCACTAACCTAGGTCGTGTCGTGTGCTTCCGTGGTGCCATTTCAAAAAAGAATAAAGTAAAGAGAAAATTAAGAGTAAGAGAACCGACGGTTACCTGAACGAGTGACGATTGATGAAGTTCTGAAAATCCTTTGCAGTCGGCTTGTCAGAGCAGGCGGTAGGCAGAAAGGGTCCAAAATGTCAGAGCAAGTTCAGGGGTCCGAATGTTCTCTCACAAAGTTTTCAAGTGTGAAAATGACCGAAGTCAACACTCCTTTATATAGGCGAAGTGAGAAGGCGAAGGGTCACTTCCAGAATTCAAAATTTTGGCGGGAGAATCTCTCGGCCTCTCGCCGACTGACACCTGTAGCAGGTCGTCGCCTGTTACAGGGCGATACCTGTCACAGGTAACACGTGACCAGTCACGTGCCACCTGTGAGGGGCAAATGATTAGGGGATTTTGCTCCCACCAATCGAAATGCGCCACGTGGGCCAATCAGGTCCTGCCAAGTGTCCCCCAGTTGGAACTGTCAGGGCTTGCCACATGGCACACGCTTATTCGTCCACCTTGGACCTATTATGTCATGACACGTGGCATACTCCATGCCTAATGGAGAAACCGACCACCCAGGCCCAACTTCCGAGGGAAGCCCAATCAGCCCTAGGTTAACCTAAACCTAGGATTGGCACGTTTCCCAAGGTTATAAATACCTCCCTTAATCCTCATTAAGGGAGATGACGCTAAAAACTCACATTAAACACTCTCATCTAGAGAGACCCAATCACTTTAATTTCCGCATTTATTACTCAAACAAGTACTAACTTGATCGTTGGAGGCGGAGCTCCCACCACAAGGAGTCTCCGTTGTTTTGCAGGTACAGGCGTCCGGTTCCAGTCTCGGAATTGTAACTCTCCCGCAGGACATCAGAAAACCCCGAAACAGAAGCCATCTTCAGATTATTTACCTGCAGCTGTTAGACCACGACTGGGATGAGATCCGTGGATACAGTTGGGGTAGTGCTTGTTTGGCGGTCTTGTATCGCCATCTGTGTAGAGCATCACAGCGTGGAGCACAGCTGATTGGAGGTCCTTTGGTTGTGCTACAGGTAAACCTCATCATTATCCTTAAGCCTAGTTTGATAATGACTTGACGTTATTTATGCTTTACCTTTTATTTGATTTTTAAAACAGCTATGGGCTTGGGAGCACATCCATGTAGGGAGACCAGGTAGGCCTGTTGTACACCGTCCAGGGCAGCTGGACCAGGACGATCAGTACGCAGCATACGATGCTCCCCCGCTCCCTGAACCCGATCAGGCATACGGTTGTAGGTTCGTAACATTATACTTGTGTACTCAAATTTTGTTATAATTAGCTAGTACAACTTCTTAAATAATTTGTTGCCACAGGTGGGTGGTTCCCAGACTAACACATGCGCATACAGCGAGAGGTCTTCTCTACTACCGTGACGCCCTCGATCGACTCTCGGATGAACAGGTGGAATCTTGCACTAAATTTGTAATCGTTTGTTTACTCTTTATACTGTTTATTGGCATTGCCCTAACCTTTTCACGATATATCCTTGTTGCAGATGACATGGGATCCCTATTCTGCTGTGTTGGTAGAGGCCATGCCGGAACACTTGCTCGAGCATCGTGCTGAGTGGCTTGCTAGGACCCCCATGATCTGTTTCGAGGTCGTGGAGAGCCACCTACCGGACCGAGTGTTGCGACAGTTTGGACTTCACCAGCCTATCCCCATGCCCTGTGACACTAGTATTCGCCTCCACGGCATTGACCGTCGTGGAAAGTTGGAGAAAAACTGGGCACTGGAGCATCATCAATTCATTGAGCTTTGGGACCAGCGGTTGGAGTCCATCGTTGACGGTCACCTGTTTCAGGGTGTTATGGATCCGCGTGATCCTTACATGGTATGGTACAGGCAAATTACACGCCTTTTCATCAACCCTACCTACACCCCACCGTCCACGCACTACCATCAAGCTTATGATGTTATCAGCGGACTTGTGAGTTTTTTCAGTTTCTTGTTTTCCAAAATTATTTGAAATTCTATATCATATTACTAATTCATGGATGATTACTACAGGCGAGGGATATGGGTGCGATGGTTGATGCACTTTCAGATGCCTTAGCAGCCGTACCCACCAGAGCCCAGGTTGAGCGGGTGCAAGATATGGGCATACATAGCTTGCAATGATATGGCCATGGCCATCTCGTCCACCCCAGGGACGATCATGACCCCAACTCCTTCCACTCACAGTTCGACTTCGGACAGAGTAGTGGTGGAGGTCATACTTCGGGCTCTACACAGGCAGAGGATTACTTCATTCATAACACCGCTCCCGGCCACAGCCAGGATGACTCATCGTCTCGCCAGCTGACTCCTCCACCGTCCCGAGACCCATTCACCACCATTCAGCATTACACGAGGCGTCCGAGGCGTGTTCGTAGACGGACGGAGGACACACAGGATGGAGATTAGTTAACTCCAATACATGAGTCCGGATAGTATTAGTTAGTTGATCCTTTTGTGGTACTCAGATATTTAACAATGTTGTATATAACGCTTACATTATTAATACAAGAAATGTTTTCTAAATGACTCTCTGTACAATTTGAAGTTTATTTCCCTTATTTGTCCGAATTTGACTTTTGTTAGTGAAACTATATCTTTTATATCCGTTATATGTATCAAGCAGCATATATTTGGTCTCCTGCACTTAAAGTGTTGTTTCACGATGGTTATCATGTTGTTGGGGTTGTTTCTAGTGTTTGATGGTTGTCGGTGGTGGTCGATGGTGGTGGAAAGGTTGGGGCTGGTGGTGGGAATGCTCTTGCGTTGTTTAGGGTGTTTTATGGTAGTTTATGGGTGGTTGAGAGTGGCGTGCGGTGGTGGTGGGGGAGGTGGTTGATGGTGGTGGAGGTGGTGGTTAATGATGGGGGTGGTGGGAATGTCCTTGCGTTGTTTAGGGTGTTTTGCATTGCATAGGGGTGGTCGAGAGTGGCGGCCGGTGGTGGTGGGGGAGGTGGTTGATGGTGGTGGATGGTGGTAGGGGTGGTGGTTCATGGTGGGGCTGAGCTGATGCTGCTGGGTGAGGGTTATGTGTAGGGGCAGCAGCAGATTGCAGAAACTGCTGGTGATGTAGTGTAGCAGATGCTGCTGGTAATGCAGTCTAGCAGAAAAATGCTGCCTGAGGCAACGTTTTATGCTTTAACATAAAACGCTGCCTCAGGCTGCGTTTTATGCTTCAAATAAAACGCTGCCTCAGGCTGCGTTTTATGCTTCAAATAAAACGCTGCCTCAGGCTGCGTTTTATGCTTCAACATAAAACGCTGCCTCAGGCAGCGTTTTAAAGCCCATATACATATTCCAGTATAATTTGGCAAAATATACTAGTATATTTTGTCAAAATACATACCAACAGGTCAACAAGGTAAAACGCTGTCTGAGACAGCGTTTTACTTCTTGAATTTTTTTTTTTAAAAAAAACTGGGTGTAAAACGCTGTCCGAGACAGCGTTTCACCCCAGAAGTTTAGTTTGGGAAATACTTTTCCCACGAGACCAATTTGGTAAATAATTTACCAATATTCAGATAAATGATAACATTCAGATAAATGAGGCTCTTCTCCCTCCAAGAAAAAAAAATCGCAGAAGTTGATCGTCCATGGCGTCTAAGTCACCGTCGCAATTCATCCACCATTTCGCCGCCACGACACCTCTTCCCAGGTTAGTTTAAACGCTTGACTCATTCTTCTTCTACAATCCTTTCAATCTTACTCTTCCTGTAATTTTCCAAGTGCAATTAGGGTTTTAATTGATTTTATTCTGGGTTCCATGGCTTAATTGAATTCGACCTATTTTAAATCATTCGTAATTATTATTAAAAAAAAAAAAAACCTCATTCGAAATTGATTAATTATACAAAATTCCCTAATTATTTTCAATGGTAAAAATCTCAAGTAGGATTGTTCTAACCCTTTTATTCTCCATTGGTGAGAAAGGATTTTTTTTAGGCTATTGATTAATCAAAACTTTAGTGTCGAAATAAGCGAGCAAAATTCATCACTTGGGTGCTTTTTAAACTTAATTAATTTTTAAAGGGCTACTTTTATCAATGTTTTTGTGGCTGAATTAGGTGTTGCTCAAGTGGTGGAAGATGAGGCAGATGTTGATGTTGTACTGTTGAGGGTTTAACAATGACCCTATTTTGTGAAAAAAGTATTGATTTGTTTATAAATGAGAAACCCAGGTCTAAGGATTGAAAGAAATACCTGTCTTTTAGGGAAGAATAGAAAAAATACAAGGGTAGATTATACAGTCGATGTCCAACCCGAGCTGATATGGAGACTGATCCTGTTTTGAAGAGGAAACTCAGCTCTTTGGGTAGAAAAGTTAATAAGGTAACCACTTTTTATTACTTTCTCAGCTGATTCGGGTTATTATTCTATTTGTTTACAAATATATAAGTGTCTTTAAAGGTTATTAAAACAAATAAATAGTACTACATTGGTATTTTGAACTGTGTACAGAGTAGGTTGTTGATATTGCAAGTGACTGATAGTTTCCAAATTGTTTTTTAAGTAAGTTTAAGTAGTAAATTCTATTGAGGCTGAATTTTTCAACCTGTGGCCTAAACTCGGATATGGAAAAGAGGGGATTGAAATTGAAGTTCTCGTGTTGGTCTGGCTATAGATAATCATTGTAATCATGAATTTTACTGATACAAAAGTTGTTTAGCTTCTTTGGGTAAATCAATCCCATTACATGTAAACCAAATGAGTAGGACATATTGACTTGATGTTAATATTAGCTGATATTTTATCTTTGCATAGAATTTTTCTATAAATTTTAATGTCATGGAGAATGAGCATTGCAAATTGATGATGAACTCAAAAGGTATACTTATCTTTTGAACGAGATAAAAGATAGTCCTACAGATAATAATGCAGTTGTTGCTAAGCGGCATTGAGACTTCAATGGAGAGTTCTTTCACCACCCCGCATACCTTCAACAGACTTATGACAGCTTGGAGGATTGTGATGTTAATGAAACGATAATTCATTTTTAATAGCGGTCAGTATGTGCTTGAGGTGGAATGTGTTGGTTTCACACTTTTGATAACATTGTGGATGCTTGATTCCAGGTTGCCAGATTGGTTTTTCTATGGAGATGATGAAACTTGGCTAATAGAAATGATATGCTTATGAGTTATGACCCCAATTACTTGATATATTCAATAAATTATGAACAATTTTATGAATAAAATCCTTCCTTCTTTGAAACTTTTCTTTTGGACCTTAGATATAATCAGATAAGTCATAAAAGTGGCATTAATAAGTAGGAATTCTTAATAGTTCTTTGCTAGTAGGTTGTCTGCATTAAATATCTGTAAATCGAAACAAACCCACAAATAAACACCCCTATAAGGTTTTTTTGTCCTGTAGAAATTTTGTTCTAAAGATATTGATGAATCCCTAGCTTTTGACTTATTACTCTACTTGCTTTTAACTTCTGATCGATGTTGCTTCTTAATTCTTACCAGTCCTTGAGTTTAAGAATGATTAGTAGGAGATAAATTTGACTTGAATCAAAGATTATGGTGCTGGATACAAGGGACTAATAGGGTAATGTGTAACTATGCCAGGAATCAAGCTAACATGACCCTGTGTGTGAACATCATTGTGAACAAAGATCATAGTTTATTGATTTTAATGAGAATATTTTTATCTTTAATCCTTTTTCATAATTGTTACAATGGCTAAGTAAATAATGAAGAGAATGTTCAGGTTTGTTGTGCTCACACTAGCTCAAGTTTACTTGTTTTAGAAGTGTATAGATTTTGGTTAATATCTTAAGGTTGTTTTAAGATATACTTCCTATGATAGATCTCTTAAAAATAGGACAAACTTTTTAATTGGTGTCGTAATCTCAAGGCCTGAGTGGATCTTTTGATCGTATTTATTTGCACACAACTATTCTGGATCGACTGATTTAAAATCACTCACGGTTGTGCTTGTACTTCCACAAACAACTATCTTTGGGTCTACAGTTTTATGACATTTTATGCATGATATTGATGCTTGTTTTAAACACTTTCCCATGCCTTAGAGCCCTGCTTCACACGCACACAAGTACCCCACTGCAATGATAAACCTGGCTTGTATGCATGTTTGGTACAGGGAGGGAGGGTGGCAGGTGTAGGGGAGGGGAGGGGGGCAGGTGCAGGGAGGGGCTTCCGGGTGTAGTGCAAGGAGGGGTACAATGCAGAGAGGGGAGGAATGCAGGAAAGGGGCAGTGCAGGAAGGCAGACAGTGTAGGGAGGGGATGTAGTGCTGGAGGGGGTAGTACAGGGAGTGTAGGGTTCTTCACTCAGGTATGTCTTTTTTTTTATTGACGAGAAAATATTGTATGTTAATTTGATTTGAAAGTTTTAATAATATGTGAGATTAACATAAATTGCATATGTATTGTGTCAATTTGACATTTTCGTTTTAGAAACTTATTGACTTGATTTTTTTTTAATTCATTGTAGGTAAAAAGGCGCGGAGCACAAATGTATTGTGACATTCTTTTATCCTTATTTAGCAAAAGGATTTGAGTTTTTTTGTAAGTTTTTTAAGTGAGCCAGTGATGAGACAATTAGACAAGTAATTTCTAGTACATTTGTATGTTCAGATACAAATTTCTAGTATATTTGTATGTATGGAATATCAGACATCAATTTGATATTTTTTTTTTTGTGTTATATATCTATTTCAACAACCATGAATGTGATGACTTGAATGAAAAAAAACATTTTAAATATACAGTTACGCGTATACTTTATATGCTACAACAAAAGCGTATGCCTTCTGAAATTGGTAGCCAGTGTAATCATTAGTGATAAAAGATTTTATTTGCACAGTATTATCTGAGGCAAATGTAGCTAATTAGCCACGATAATCTTTGTGGCAAAGAAGCTTAGTGGCCACGGTAATGTTTGTGGCAACAAGTAATTAGCCACGGTAAAATATGTGGCTAAGAATTTGTTAGCCACGTTAATATTCGTGGCAAGTGTTTTTTTAGACCACGTGAAATTCCGTGGCATAAAACTCTTAATATGCAACGACACTAGTTTTCCCGTGGAAAATTTCTAGCCACGGCCTCCTGTGCCACGGGAGAAAATTTCGAAATTCCCGTGGCAAAATTGCATAGCCACGGGAAATTTAAACTTATGCCACGATTTTTCACGTGGCACAAAGGTTAATTTGTTGTAGTGTGAAGAAACTGAAACGGTTGATATCTCAAATGATTCAACCAATAAAAGAGAAGTTAAAATCGGATTAACACTTAATGAACAAGAAAGAACCGATTTAATTAACTTACTTAAAGAATTTATCGATGTATTTGCTTGGTCATACGAGGACATGCCAGGGATTAATAGGGAAATAGCTCAACACACTATACCACTAATTCCAGGAATGAAACCCGTAAAACAAAAGTTACGTCGAATGAAACCCGACATAGCTCTTAAAATAAAAGAAGAAGTCCAAAAACAAATAACTGCAGGTTTCATCAAGGTATCCAAATACCCCGAATGGGTCGCCAACGTCGTCCCAGTTCCGAAGAAAGACGGAAGGGTAAGAATGTGTGTCGACTATCGAGATCTAAATAAGGCAAGTCCAAAGGACGACTTCCCTTTGCCACACATCGATATTCTGGTAGATAACACGACAAATCATGCGCTCCTCTCGTTCATGGATGGGTACGCAGGTTACAACCAGATTCTCATGGCAGAAGAAGACATGGAGAAAACAACTTTTATAACACCATGGGGCACTTACTGCTACACAGTAATGCCATTCGGGTTGAAAAACACGGGTGCTACTTACCAACGTGCAGTAACTGCCTTACTCCATGACTTGATGCATAAAGAAGTCGAGGTATATGTCGACAACATGATTGTGAAATCAAAAGACCGTCCAGGCCATCAAGTAGCCTTAAGGAAATTTTTCGAAAGGCTAAGAAAATATAATATGAGGTTGAATCCATCTAAGTGTGCTTTTAGAGTCACTTCAGGCAAGCTTTTGGGTTATGTCATAAGCTCTCGAGGAATAGAGATAGACCCAACCAAGATCAAAGCAATCATGTCAATGCCACCGCCCAAGACTGAGAAACAGATTCGAGGATTTATTGGCTGATTACGATACATAAGTAGGTTCATATTAAAATTGACGACAATATGTGAACCAATCTTCAAAAAGCTTTAGAAGAATGTACTAGTGATATGGGATGATGAGTGTCAAAAAGCCTTTGAAAAGATCAAAGCCTATCTTGCAAACCCTCCCGTATTAGCACCAACACTTCCCGGAATACCTCTTAGGTTATATTTGACGGTTATCAAAGAGACAATGGGAGCTATGCTAGCACAAGAAGTAGAAGGCAAGGAAAACGCAATCTACTATCTAAGCAAGAAGATGCTCGAATACGAAGCACGCTATACACCACTCGAGAAGTTGTGCCTCGCCTTGGTGTAGGCCACAACCAAGTTAAGACATTACATGCTAAAGCATACCGTCTGCGTAGTCTCCCGATTAGATCCACTCAAGTATCTATTTGAGAAATATACAATCAATGGACGCATATCGAAATGGATAGTCAATCTAGCCCAGTTTGATGCAAGGTTATGCCACAAAAAGCTATCAAAGGATTCGTGGTGTCATACTTTCTAGCAGACTTTCCAATAGAAGACTCGATGCCAATACAAGACAATGAATTTCCAGATGAAGACTTAATGGTCACTGAAGATGATACCTGGACCTTATACTACGACGGAGCCTCAAACCAAAAGGGATGTGGCGTTGGTGTATTACTAGTATCACCTAAAGAAGAGCATGTTCCAATCTCCATAAAGCTTGATTTCGACGTTACCAACAATGCTGCTAAATATAAAGCATGCGTGGTAGGCCTTGAAACAGCTTTGGCATTGGGAGTAAAAAGTTAAGGATATTCAGAGACTCTTCTTTGATTATCAATCAAATATCTAAAAGGTGGAAAGTAAGGAGCGAAAGTCTAGCTCCTTACCAAACCTATCAGGAAACTCTTACCGACAAGTTAGAGAAGGTAGAATACACATATCTACCTAGGGAAGAAAATCAATTTGCTGATGCCTTGGAAAGACTAGCCTCAATGGTTAGGATTCCCGCGAAAATCGAGCAAATGCCTCTAACTATAGAGAAAAGGCACAAACCAGCTATATCCAGGCTATAGAAGACGACAAAGTAGTCCAAGACGAAGAAGAAGAAGAAGAAGAAGAAGAAGAAGAAGAAGAAGAAGAAGAAGAAGAAGAAGAAGAAGAAGAAGAAGAAGAAGAAGAAGAAGAAGAAGAAGAAGAAGAAGAAGAAGAAGGAGGAGGAGGAGGAGGAGGAGGAGGAGGAGGAGGAGGAGGAGGAGGAGGAGGAGGAGGAGGAGGAGGAGGAGGAGGAGGAGGAGGAGGAGGAGGAGGAGGAGGAGAAGAAGAAGAACCGTGGTACGCGGATATACTCAATTATGTCACCAAAGGAGAATACCCTCTCCACACTGACAAAAGAGAAAAACGAGCATTAAGACTTTTGGCTTCCCAATATGTACTCATAGACAACGAGCTACATAAAAGAGTACCTAAGGGTCGAGCTCTCTTATGCGTAGGAAAAAAGGATGCACAAAGAGCAATGAGAATAGTCCACGAAGGAATTTGTGGCACTCATATAAATGGCAAAATGTTAGTCCAAAAGATAATGCGAGATGGATATTATTGGACTACAACGAATAGGGATTGTCATCAATACGTAAAAAGATGCCCTAAGTGCCAAATCTATGCCAATTTACAACATGTTCCTCCGTCCCTGCTCTACACCTACACGTCACCATGGCCATTCTCTACATGGGGAATTGACATCATTGGTAAAATCACTCCCCCAGGAACAGGAGGCCACGAATATATCCTAGTAGAAATTGATTACTTCACAAAGTGGGTCAAAGCGCAATCATACGCTAAAATCACTGCAAAACATGTAGCACTCTTTATCGAGAGAAATATTATTTGTCGATACGGAGTCCGACATGAAATGATAAGTGACAATGGAACTCACTTTCAAGCCGAATTTGAAGATTTGCTACAAAAATATGGCATTCAACATCATCATTCTTCCCCTTACAGACCTCAAGCAAATGGAGCAGTCGAGACAGCTAATAAAAATCTTAAGACTATCATCGAGAAAATGACGGAAAATTATAAAGATTGGCCTGACAAACTCCACTTTGCATTATGGGGTTACCGCACATCAATCCATACATCAACAGGAAATACGCCATTTTCCTTAGTATATGGAATGGATGTCGTACAACCTGTCAAACTAGAAATTCCATCTCTACGCATCGCGTTAGAGAGCAAACTCGATGAAGTTTAATGGGCTAGGGCAAGATATGAAGAGCTAATTTTACTCGACGAAAAACGAATAGAAGCTCTACATCACACTCAGTGTTATCAAACTCGTATGGCTAGGCATTTTAATAAGAAGGTCAAGACAAGAAACATCAATGTAAGAGACTTGGTGTTAAAAGCATTAAGGAAAAATGTTTTAGATCCAAGGGGGAAATTTAGACCTAATTGGTCTGGACCCTACATTGTCAAAACAATCTTGTTAGGAGGTGCAGCAAAACTAACTGATATGGATGGCAATGATGTCTCGAACATGACAAATCTTGACCAACTTAAGAAGTACTACCCATAATTACTTGAGTAAGATACTCAAGAGAGCTACGTTTGGCCTGATTCCTTAAGAAAGGATATGTAGGCAACCCTTTACGGGTGCGACCACTTTATTTTTCGACATTCTCGCATCCCAGAATTAATTAAAAATTCGACAGAAGATCGGCGAAATATCGGCGTCGCAGAGAAAACTCTGGCGCCAGCAAACGACCATCAACGCTAGCTGACGGCACTATCGCCTGACGCCAGACTGTTGTGGCCGGCGCCAGTTGCAGATAAGCGGCGCCAATTCACAACTAAATTCTAGGCATATTTCGGTGTTTTTCGGAAAATTTTCGACTTCCGTACTCGAAGAATTTCTGAAAAATTAATTTTTTCGGTTTTCATTGCTTTAATAAATAAATTTAAAGTAAATAATTAATTAAAATCTAAAATTTCATTAATAAAATAAAATTACATTATTGACGGAATTTTAATAAAGCTGAAATAAATTAACTTTAAATAAAAAAATAAACTAAGTCTAATAATTTGAAATTAAGCAATGCTCCTAATCTTTCTTTTCTTTCCTAGCCCTTTTCCAATTTTTGTCTGCTTCCTCCTTCTCATCCATAACCTTAGCTACTAGGCATCCTTTAGAGGACCTACATTCAATCTTAGAGTAGATAGTTTCCCCTTCATCTAGGACTCCTTGCTTCTTTTCTACCCAAACCTTTTTATCTGTGGTGTCAGCTTTCCTTTTTCCCTTATCTTTAAGTGTTGATTATTATTTTAAAATTTTCAACTTTAAAATTTTAAGCCTACCCTTACCCTTTTTTCCCTTACGTTACAACCATTGGAAAAGACCTATAGGTTGAGTCACATATCAAGGGAGGGCATTATGAGTTAAAACCTAAAGAGAGGGGATGCAAAGTCAAGATGTCAAGTAGCCCAAAATTGTGTTCTTTTCTGACTCCTTCGAGGAGCTATTGAGATGCTCATTAGAGGGAGATTTGAGACTATAGGGAGAACGCGGTATG